GAGCTTTTTCCTGTAGTCTTTCTCCAATTGCTTGTTATTGATATATAGAAAGGCTACTGGTTTTTGTAGACTGATTTTATAACCTGCCACTATACTGAAAGTATTGATCATTTCTAGGAGTTTTCTGGTGGAACTTTTGGGATCCAAATACTACTCCTTTAATTTTCTTCTCCTGCCTTATTGCTCTAGCAAGAGTTTCAAGCACTATGTTGAAAAAGAGTGGAGATAGTGGACATCCTTGTCTGGCTCCTGATTTTAATGGGAATGCTTCTAGTCTTTCTCCATTTGGAATGATTTTGGCTGTGGGGTTTTTGTATATAGCTTTAATTATGTTGAGGTATGTTCCCTCCAGTCCAGTTCACTCTAGGACTTTGAACATAAATGCACACTGAACTTTGTCTAAAGCCTCTTCAGCATCTATTGAGATGACAATGTGGTTTTTGTCTTGATTCCATTTATATGATTAATGATGCTTAAGTCTTTAACCACATCGATTTTTGGAATTCTAACAGTTTCAATCTTACTAAAACTTTAAGCCAACTTCAAGAACAGCCTAATATTCTTTCTTTACTATACTGCTTTGTCTCTCTTTTATTGACTATTTATTGACTTTTATTCTTCCCAATGGTTTTCAATGTTTGTCTTATAGACTTATAAAATTGGCCAGTTCATAAAGCTATGGATGCCCTACAAAGCAAGTCTATTCTCATACATGATTTCATCCACAGTGACCTCAACATTTTCTCTACACTGATTTTTAATGTGTAAGGAACCAGTTATCTGCTCAAATGTTTAATATCTTCTTTGGACTTCAGTACTGTGCTAGTTAATAACAAGTCACAGAAGCTCAATGGTTGTACACAGGGTGTTTATTCTATGGGAAAACAAAATCCAATCAGCATTAAAAATGATCATTTAAGAAGGACCAAATACTTTCAAACTTGTACCTTTGATTTGGTGTAGAACACCAAAGTCCTCTTCAGTCAGCCTCATCAGAGAAAGAAACTATTGCAAGTATCCTGGTCACACTGGAGCATTTTGCTGTACATTGATAGCAGCAGTACACAGCATATACCCACAGTCTACTGGCCAAGACTAATGTGACCACATCTACCTCCAAGAAGACTGGGAATATTATTTAGCTTTGTGCCAAAAAGAAAAACAACTGGGCTATTATGTCAACAGCTATACAATTGCCATCATTTACCATTTCTTTTAACAAATTCTTGTATTCACACAGAGAAGTTATTTATCTCTTTCCTAAGGAAGACATCCCAAAGTTCCCCAAATTGTCATATTGCCATAGCTACTAGTTGAAAGACCAGTGTGAAATGCAATCCAGATGCCTTGTAGTAAACAAATAGCCTATGAAATAAAAAGACTGTTCCCTGTCATCCCATCTAACATAAATACTGAACACCAGTAAATATGACACACACACACACACACACACACACACATGCACACACTATAAATGCCAAGTATAAATGCCTCAATTAAAAATTCTTTAAGACAAGGAAAAATGGGAGAGCCATATCACACAGTAATGAGACCCTGCTGGAGAGTATTGGACCCTGGATCATGCATCGATGAACACTGCCTTCTGTTTCTTCCATTTGGTCCTCTGGAAAGTTCTTCCAGCCTGTTTTGCTCCAAGACTGTATCACCACTAAGTTTGAAGAAGTTTGGTCTCCTTGAAGAATATGGAACTCACACAGACCAGACTCTGTTCACATAATTTGAGGGGTTGGGTTATTATGAAGTTTAACAGTCTCATATTTTTGCAAGTAGACAGTAGTTTCTTTGGGAAAATAATTTTTTCAGCATGTGTTAACTTTCTAATCTATTTGCTTTTAGTTAGTTTCATGGGCCCGTACCCACAATAAAAAAGTCCTTCTTTGACCTAGTTTCTGGCTTCCTTACCTATGACTCTCTCTCTCTCTCTCTCTCTCTCTCTCTCTCTCTCTCTCTCTCTCTCTCTCTGTCCCTCCCTCCTGCCTGCTCTACCTCTGCCTTCCCTCTCTAAAAATTAATGATTTTAAATAGTCTAAAAAACAGGTTTGAGTGAACACATATCCTTAAATTAGCCACTTTATGCTGTATGCACAAAAACCACTGCTTTTACCTTAGTGTGGATCACTCTGTGGTGAGCGCACTCTTCTAGAGAAATCTGCCTACTTTTTAAACACTAACATGTGTGTTTACAGATGTCACTTCCCTCCCTTTCTATGTTTATAAATTCCATATTTGTTCTTTTCATCTCTCTGGCCAAGAAATTTACCACTGACTATGAGTCTTACTTCTGGCCATTTCTCTCCAGACCAACAAAATTGAGTACCACTCATTCCCTGGCTGCAGGGAGGGTTTATCCCCACTGCTGTCTGGGGCTACCTCTGAGAGTGTAGTGTGTGGTAGCTGTCTGTGAACAGTGAGCATGATACACCACTACTCTCACCTTTCTTGGAACCAAGGACTTACTTAACTAATCTGCTAATACCCAATAGGAGATGCATTTCAAACAGCAAGTAGTCTTTATGGCAGATGACATAGTCTTACTCCAGAACCCAAGGCTGTGTGCCCTGTAATTACCCCCAGGGGAGCTTTCCAGAGAGTCTATATACAACAGGGAAAATGAGATTCAGTGTATTAAGTAACCATTATATAAAAAATCATGTGCACATTCTAAACTCTCTGCTATAAAACCACTGTTTTGGTTCTGGATTTAGGACTGGTCTATTTATTGGGCTGCTGGCCCCCTCATCTTTGCTTCACAAAGACTATATCATTTTGGGGATTTTCTATTATGCTTCGCAGAAGCTAGCTGATTTCCTAATTCTATTAGGAATCGTTTTCCCATTACAAATGAAGTTCCTGGTGCTGGAGAGACGGCTCAGTGGTTAACAGTCCTGACTGCTCTTGTAGCACCCACATGGCAGCTAACAATCCAGTTCCAGGGGATCCAATACCTTCTTCTGACCTCCATGGGCATTGTACAACAGGGGTGCACCTACACACATACAGGCAATACATTCACACACATAAAATGAAAATAATAAGTGAAAAATGAAATGCCTGTGGCGAACGCAGCCCTAAGCCCAAGGAAATCAAGGGACATTGAATTTTTGGTTCTCAAACCTGACTCATCCTCAGAGATACCTTCAGAATTTCTTATATAAAAAAAAAACAAAATTACCTAAGAGTCTCTGATTGCAGTCAAGTTTGGGAATAGCTGCTCTAATTAACATGTGGGAAAAATCCAATCTTCAGGTTCAGCTCTCTGAGCCCCTTTCCACTTATGCCTCTCAGAGAACTAGAAAAGTCTTTATACAGAAAGTAAAGACTAGTAAGACCAAATCTATGTGGTCCTAAGATGACCTGCTTCACCCAGTGCTCCCACACAACCACCGATGCACAACAGTCACTCTAAACAGCAAAGGAAATAGTGAATTAAGAAATCTGCAGATGAGGGAATAAAGCACACACACTAGATCTCATCTCCGTGGCGGCGCTGTACTTGAATGCTACTGGATTTGCCTCCCCCTTGATAGAATTCAAATAATGAAGCTTTCTTATTAAGAGCCTTAATCTTTTGTTTCTACTTAAGCCAAAGCTTTTCAATTAAAATATTTTAGCAAAAGAATCAGGAGGCAAAAAGTCGAGGCTGCTGATGCTGACTTTAATACAAACATTTCAACTCCTTTTATTTTCTAACACCTTTCAAAAGTTTTAAATAGCAGGAAACTAAAGTCAGTTCTCAGTTTCATGTCAGCAGTACAGATGAGCCATTGATCATAACATAGTTATTTTCTTAAATGTGCATGTATCCTCAGTGGCCTATGTTATGACTATATCTATCCGATAACAAACGATGAAAGAAGATTGTTTCCAATAGACTCACACAAGCAGCTGGTTTTCATGAAATATTAATATATAAACTGCTGAAATGCGTATAACCTAAAGACTGTTCGTACTTTTCCCACCGAGTTTCTTTCTTATAGTTCCATTCCTTATCTGCCCGTTGACACCTCTCCGTAGATATGAAGATGCTGGTGGAATGTTTCTGTTTATCTTGTTTGTCTACATTCAGTGGATACAGGATTTATTTGGCTGCATTTCTTCTTGCTTTACAGCATTTGTCAGCCCATTCCCAATGAAGGTCTGGATCCCAAATCACATTCCATTAGGTCAGTACTTTTATACACAGTCTTTTGAATCCACCCTTGTATGTGCAATGGGGTACATCATATAGTTACATATTCTTCTTGTATGGAATACAAATTGATACTAATTTTAATAAAAGAGTTTAAGAACTGTGAAAATGAATACAATTCAAATTCACCTTTTAAGATGTTCATTGTAATTTTTAGTGTCACGTCAATAAAACTGAACGAAGTGAATTGTCAAAGAAATTCCCAGTATAAAATTCCTCTCTGCCTCACTCTTTCTTCTCTCTCTGTCTCTTTCTCTCTCCCACACACATATACACATATGTGCATATGTATCTTGCTCATATGATCATCTCTTGTAGTCAGTTCAAATGCTAGTATTCCAGAAGCTTTACATTAAATTTTGGCTTTAAATAAGTCACTTTATCTAGTCCAAACCACTGACTTTTCTTGGTATCTACTTAAAACTAAAATTCAAGTTTCGTTTCCTTCAAATTCAATCCAGGTGTTTAAATCATCTTTTCATTTTCCAAAAAGCACTCAACAGACTTTCTATTCTATAGTCACATTTATAACACAGTCTCTAAACATTCAAATATTTTGTATTTTCTGATTAACCTGGCTCCATGTTGATTTGTCGGTCATCAAATTTGTAGACACTCACTTATAAATGTATGTTTTTCCTTCTAGAACTTTGTGATTGTTTCTCTAGGATCTATTTTTTTTTGTCATTTGCAAACTCTGTTGTTTTTTCAAGAGTAAGCATGTGTATTTTAAGTTAGCAATAAAAAGAATATTAAAAACAAACCATTTCTTTAAAATGAGTTCAGTTACCACTCAATGTAGAGATTTACAACCGTGGTAAATTCTGTGATTTTTGGCTTTTATGTTTTTTTAATTTATAGACTTAGAATTCTGGACGTTTCTTTGGGTTTTGTCCGCAGGGGAAAAATCAGCGTATTTAACTTTTATTAGGTTTCAAATCTAAAATATCAACAGAGCCCCTTCTATTCTGCTTCTTTAGGCCAACTCTTAAATGCTGATTAAAAACCATGATCAACAAAAGCAACTCTAATGCTTGTGTGTCATGTTTAGAAGTAATAGACCTTAGCAGAGCTAAAGAGAAGCAATATAGCACACTATGTCTGCAGTGGAATTCGTCTTTAATCCTTCTAAACCAGAATGCTGGCACAGGGATATTAGGTAGCTCACTCATGGGCAGTGTCTGGAACTTAGTGAACAGAAACCCTTTCTGTAGATCCTGAGGAATATGGAAAAATCATACAAAATCATAGAATTGGCAGTCTTGATGATGTTACATGCAGATAATAATTTCAGCAAGATATAAAAAATAACTTTTTAAAACCAGCTCTATTTGAGTGATTTTAGGAAAAATGTTCAACTAGCACTCACAGTAATAAATTTATTGTGTATGAAAATATCTCACACTAATTCTTCTTTAGACAAGCCCAGGCTGTCCTTAGACTCTAAACAATTCCTCTGCCTCAGATCAGTGTTTGCCACTGGGCCCAGATAAAGCTTTATTAAGCTGTTTTAAAATGCACCCATCAATTCACCCCTCCCTCCTCCTTCAATTCTCCTTGTCTGTCTCCCCCAGCATCCCCCTTTCAAATTTCAAAGCCATGACCTTTTCATATATATGTATAAAAATATATCTCAGAGAGAGAGAGAGAGAGAGAGAGAGAGAGAGAGAGTTCAGTTAGTGTTACCTCTATGTACTTAGATACAGGCTAACTACTCGAGCATGGGCAACTTATCAGGGGGCTTGTTCCTGATGAATAGTGATTCTCCTTCCCTCAGCAACTGTCAACTGCTCTTCATCTAGGAGTGGTTCTTGTGTGTCCTTCCTGCATATAAGCTGGAGTGTTGACTGGTGTGCTCTTGTACTGATAACCACACTGTTTGTAGTTCACGGATGCAACATGTCCGTCATGTCCAGAAGATACTGTTTGTAGCAATCTTGCCAATCCTCTGGCCCTTACAGTCTTTCCACCCCTACATCCTGAGCTTTAGGCATAAGGATTGTGTTGTTGATGTACCATTTGTGGATGACAGCAGACAGTCACTTGCTCTCTGCACTTTAACACTTGCAGTTCCAGGGGATAGTCTCTATGATGCAAAAACAAGAAAGAAAAAAAGAAAGAAAACAAAAACAGAAACAACGCTTCTTGGGTGAGGGGTGAGAGCTGCACTCATCAA